ATAAATTGCAAATACTTGCCTTCCCTTTCAATGACCTAAATAAAATTTTCTGAAAAAGTCTTGGCTACTTCTATAGCCATGCTTCAAGTTTTCCCTTAAATCCTGATGCTGGGCCAACAATTTCTCTTCTGGAAGTAATCACACCATTCCTTTATTGATTCAAGCACGTATGCTAAAATTCATCAATTGGTTTAGACTTTAAACTTCAGAGGCATAGGCATTTTCTGACCAGGCATCCACAGAGCCACACACGTTTCCATCTCATTGCTCTCAGCCAATGCATTTTCATGCCACCATCGATGGATTGACTTAGCATTTTCTCCTTTCTTCAAATATTTTCCCTTGTTGTAAAAAATGATACTCATCCCCAAATGAGATAATTTGAACTTGGAAGTTAGTTCCTTCACCTTTCTTCCAGCCTTCATTTCTGAAGGTTTTCCTTCGTTTTTGAGTGGATTTGCTGCCATATCTCCACAGCATATCACTGAGCATCATATCTTCTTTTCTAAGACACAGAATAGAAGAATTTTATTTTAAAAATTGGAGAAAACACAGAAGACATGAAGAGCAGTATGAAAGACTCACACTTGCTCTAAGTGTGATGGTACACTCATCCTGCCCACTCACTGCCAGGAGCCCCTCGTCCACGTCTCCTCTGGATATGCTGAGACATGGCGAGGCACAGTCCAGCTGTGCAGACTCAGTGCCCTTGGTATTCACAGTCTTTTCTGGGGGTGGGAGGAAGGGAGCTTGTTTTGTGGTGCTCCCATAATTCGAGATCACCTATATTTAAAATAAAACAAATAGAACTCTAACTTCTACAGTTAAACTGTTTATACTACAGGTATAAACTGCGATAAGAGGCGAAAGGCGAAACAAACGCAGAGTTGGGATAAAGGAGACTATGGTGGCATTTGGAAGTGAGGTTTTTATACCTCCAGCCTGACCTGTGTATCTTTCTCCTCAATTATACATAATTACTAAATATTATGAGTAACAGGTCTCTAAAACATAAGTGAGACTAAAATAATATGAAGAGAACTCAGTTGGAGGCACACAGTTTGGAATGGTTTAGACAACCTGCCCTCTTAATCTAAGAGTGGTTATTACAGACTAAGGTCACCATTTTTAAAATGCATCTGAAACTTTAACTGTATTGATTCATGTTTGCACAAGGGATGTGTCAATTAGAAGCATACTACTATATTAATTTTTATAAGTATCAGGTATATGGATTGCTCTTACAGTCAGCATATTTTACACATATTACAAGTTACTTGTAAAAAAGTTTTTTTAATTTTAAATTTTTAAAAAATTGTCTTATAAATGTCCCAATATCTCAGAAGAGAGTTATTCAGCATTGCATACTGCATAACTGGAACTGCTCCAGATATTTCAACTTAAAAATTGTTTTTGCTATTAAGTGTATTTTAAAATACTAGCATTTGTTTCCAAAACAAGGTTTCAGAACCTTTCAAGATGACTGAAGTTTGAAACTACCATCATTATCTTACCCACACAAACTCATTTACCTTACCTGGGAGGTGTCAGGATATTAGAAATGCATAAGATCAAAAAATAAAAAATGCTGACACGAGCTGAATATATTCTAGGAATTCAGTAAAAGATAGGGAAGCTTATACAATTTAGGGAATTCAGCCCAGTCATCGCCCAAAATAAAAGAAACTTCTGTATTATAATATATCATAATATAGTCTTTCCTAAAGCATTAATAAAAATTGTAGAATTATTTTCATTTCAAGTTAATAGGATCAGTTTGAAATATTAAAAAAATAAAATGGTGGAAATGACCTAAGAAATAATTCTCCAAACACCAGAAACATTTACAGCTAAGTATAAATTAGATATAGATATATCACTAGGACTTTGTCACCCATACTTTAATGAGGCCAACCACTTACTTAGTCTCCTCCCCAAATAAGCCCCAAAAGACAAGTTTCAAATGATACCCTATACTCAAAGCCAGAGTGCAAGGTCTCCTTCTTCAATTTGCTTCTAGCTCAATTTAACCAATTCTGGTTTCGCTGAGTCTAATCTGTTATTTCTAAACCCCATTGTCACCTCCATCCTGCTTCCCTCCTCCTAATTCCCTTCTCAATTTGATAGTTAGCACTCTGCACAAGTCTCAGGCTAGGAACATATAGTTTTATGTAACTATTCAAGATTTTTAAGAATTGATACAGCACAAACCTCAACTTACCAGATCAGACGCTGGTCATAAACAAAGGGGTATTTTCATATTGGTGCATACCTGCTCAAGAGTGCCCCATCTCCTCCATATTTGGATCCAGGCTCTCTGGTAGGAGTTCTGTTTTTCTCATTCCCTGGCCCTAGCATCTGTCACTGATATGTTGAGTCCCTGTTGCAGCTCCCAGTTATATGGAACTCAGGCGCCATGATCGGGTCACCCCTATTTGAGTTAACCTTCAGTCCTTTTTTTTTTTTTTTTTTTTGCAGTACGCAGGCCTCTCACTGTTGTGGCCTCTCCCGTTGCGGAGCACAGGCTCCAGACGCACAGGCTCAGCGGCCATGGCTCACGGGCCCAGCCGCTCCGTGGCACGTGGGATCTTCCCGGACCGGGGCACGAATCCGTGTCCCCTGCATCGGCAGGCGGACTCTCAACCACTGCGCCACCAGGTAAGCCCCCTTCAGTCCTTTTTAAAGGACAGGGCATGTAAGGGGGGTAGCAGGGATGAGGGAACAATGAGCCAAAAGGTATTCCCTTTGTATTATTTAGGAGGTTCTTCACTTAAATGTTTCTTAGATGATTGTCTTCGCATCTATGACTGTCTTCCAATCCCTATGGAGCAGCTGTATTGAGCAGCAATAGCTGAAACGCCAAAAGCTGTCCTTGGGTATTACAAGTCTTTAATGCAACTCCATACTGGAGAATAAGCACACACATGGTTATGAACAAGACATTTCTGTCCATAAGAACAAGACATTTCTGTCGGATTTTTTCCTATTCTTTTCTGTTACACAGATCTAATTCAAACTAATTTGAATAAGAAGACATTTCTGTCGGGTTTTTTCCTATTCTTTTCTGTTACACAGATCTAATTCAAACTAATTTGGCATGTTGTATGTGATTTGTCTAATAAATCATATCTCATCAATACATACCATTTGGATTAAAGTAAAAGGAAAGCAAATGATTTATTCCGTTGGCTGCCCTACTGAAGTGTTAAAAAATGACTACATTTAGACTTTATAGAAAAGGGAAATAAGACACTTCCACTAACTAAAAAAGGAAAAAGGAAGGAAATTAACCTTTGTTTAATGAATAAAGTATGCCAGAAAGCATAAGGAATACTTCAATTATACATTATCTCATTACATTTTCACACAAATTCTGCAGGTAGGTGTTATTAACTCCCTGAATTTTATTCTCTGTTGTAGCCACCAATATTTTGCAGTCCAGTGCCAGGAGCCAGGTAAATATCTGTTAATTAAATAGATTCCTAATTTAAATGAAAAAACTGAGACTCAAGGTTGAGAAATATTAGTCAAGGTAAACCTTCATCTATTTGTAATAATTACTAATATTTATGGAGTACTTAGAAAAAATCCAAGTAATTTATGTGAATCCTCTCATTAATCTTCACAAAAATCTTTACAACAATTACTCTTATTTTACATATAAAAGAACTGAGGCTCAGGGAAGGTAAACAACTCTCCCCAGTTCACACAGCCAGGAAGCAGCAAAAATTGCAGACTCTGGGGCTTCCCTGGTGGCGCAGTGGTTGAGAGTCCGCCTGCCGATGCAGGGGACACGGGTTCGTGCCCCAGTCCGGGAAGATCCCACATGCCGCGGAGCGGCTGGGCCCGTGAGCCATGGCCGCTGAGCCTGCGCGTCTGGAGCCTATGCTCTGCAACGGGAGAGGCCACAACAGTGAGAGGCCCGCGTACCACAAAAAAAATAAAAATTAAAAAATGTGTACTTATAATTATACTAATCAATATATTGAATAAGAAGGTCTGAGGTGGGCTTTGAAGTAAATACATGAAGGTGGGAAATGAAAAGAAACTTAGTTTCACTTTGATTACATATGTTAAAAATTACCATTAAGAAATGTTTAAACAATTGGTATAGTATACACCATTTGAATAATTGCTCATGATATGCCTTAAAATACAGAAAATTGGTGCCATAAAAAAAAAAGAAACTGGGCTTCCCTGGTGGCGCAGTGGTTGAGAGTCCGCCTGCCGATGCAGGGGACGTGGGTTCGTGCCCCGGTCCGGGAAGATCCCACATGCCGCGGAGCGGCTGGGCCCGTGAGCCATGGCCGCTGAGCCTGCGCGTCCGGAGCCTGTGCTCTGGAACGGGAGAGGCCACAACAGTCAGAAGCCCGCGTACGGCAAAAAAAAAAAAAAAAAAAAAAAAAGAGAAAAAAAAAAAAAAGAAACTGATGAGAGGTTCAGGAGAAAAGTTGAGAGTTCTATGAAGTGTTTGACTGGGGGACCTAACTTTGTTTGGGATAAAAGGCATTGACCAGTCATAGCTGAAGGATGTGCCAGACAGAAAGAACAAGGTGTCTGAAGGTTCTGAGGTAGGAAAGCACTTGGCTCAATGGAGGCCCTCAAAATAGACCCGTGTGACCACTGTGTAGTGAGTAGGATAGGGCAGGCAGCTGGAGGGGGAGGCTGGTCAGCATGGAGGCTCTGTTTAGGATTTCTGGTATTTTCCTAAAGATGGCAAAAAGCCATTAAGGTTCTGAGTGGAGTGATATAATCCAACTTACATCTTAGAACAAGCATAGTTTGGTGTGTGCTGAGTACACTGGAGGGAAATGCAGGGCGGGAAGAACCCAGTTAGTGCAGAGGTCTGGGCAAAAGGTGAGGCTGGCTGAGCAAGGGCAGAGGTCCCCATGGGGAGGAGCTGACAGTCAAGTCAAGGGGGAGCATGGAATCAGCAGGAGACTGTGCATAGATTCACAGTCCATAAAGTTAGAAGGCAAGACAGTAGCATGTAGGACCACAAATAAAGGTTTATGGTCCACCAGGATGTACAGCACCACTCTTCGTGTCAGGCCATCCACTGTCTCCAATGGATGGTTCAACTTGACCAAACAGCATGCGCCATAAGAGGAGGAGAAAAGGTGGGCTTTCCATAGACGCAGCAGGAGTAAATTTTCATCCCGTGCAGGTAGAAGAGGGCGTGCAGATAAGTTACTCAGTCCTGCCCAGCTTCAGTTTTAATCTTCTCCAAGACAACTGAAATCTACATTGCCAAATTTGTCCAGGCATAATCCCTGTATATTGTTATGCTAAGGCTCCGATCTCTCTGCCATTATGAGATACCCATCAAAGTCTCTTTCTGTTTTATGGGTGTAGGGAGTATGTGCCAAGTTCACTTTTTTTATTAAAAATATGGATTACTTATTTATGTACAGTTTTAAGGTCCAAATGTAAATATGTTGTGTTACCCCCAAAACACAGTAGAACAACCTAGAACCTATTGTTATAATGCACATCAAGAGAAAT